AAAAAAAAAAAAAAAAAAAAAAAAGACAGTACAGTACTGGCACAAAAATAGAAATATAGATCAATGGTACAGGAGAGAAAGCCCAGAGATAAACCCACGCACATATGGTCACCTAATTTACAACAAAGGGGGCAAGAACATATAATGGAGAAAAGACAGCCTCTTCAATAAGTGGTGCTGGGAAAACTGAACAGCTACATGTAAAAGAATGAAATTAGAACACTCCCTAACACCATACACAAAAATAAACTCAAAATGGATTAAAGACCTAAATGTAAAATCAGATACTATAAACCTAGGGGAAAACATAGGCAGAACACTCTTTGACATAAATCACAGCAAGATCCTTTTTGACCCATCTCCTAGAGTAATGAAAACAAAAACAAAAATAAACAAATAGGACGTAATTAAACTTAAAAGCTTTTGCACAGCGAAGGAAACCATAAACAAGACGAAAAGACAACCCTCAGAATGGGAGAAAGTATTTGCAAATGAAACAACAGACAAAGGATTAATCTCCAAAATATACAAACAGCTCATGGAGCTCAATATCAAAAAAACAAACAACCCAATTAAAAAATGGGCAGAAGACCTAAATAGACATTTCTCCAAAGAAGACATACAGGTGGCCAAGAGGCACATGAAAAGATGCTCAACGTTACTAATTACTAGAGAAATGCAAATCAAAACTACAATGAGGTATCGCCTCACACTGGTCAGAATGGCCATTATCAAAAAATCTACAAACAGGGGCTTCCCTGGTGGCGCAGTTGTTGGGAGTCCGCCTGCCAATGCAGGGGACGGGTTCGTGCCCCGATCCGGGAGGATCCCACATGCCGCGGAGCGGCTGGGCCCGTGGGCCATGGCCGCTGGGCCTGCGCGTCCGGAGCCTGTGCTCCGTGGCGGGGGAGGCCACGGCGGTGAGAGGCCCACGTACTGCCAAAAAAAAAAAAAAAAAAATCTACAAACAACAAATGCTGGAGAGGGTGTGGTGAAAAGGAAACCCTCCTGCACTGTTGGTGGGAATGTAAATTGATACAGCCACTATGGAGAACAGTATGGAGATTCCTTAAAAAACTAAAAATAGAACTACACATGATCCAGCAATTCCACTACTGGGCATATACCCTGAGAAAACCATAATTCATAGAGTCATGTACCACAATGTTCATTGCAGCTCTATTTACAATAGCCAGGACATGGAAGCAACCTAAGTGTCCATCGACAGATGAATGGATAAGGAAGATGTGGCACATATATACAATGGAATATTACTCAGCCATAAAAAGAAACAAAATTGAGTTATTTGTAGTGAGGTGGATGGACCTGGAGTCTGTGATACAGAGTGAAGTAAGTCAGAAAGAGGAAAACAAATACTGTATGCTAACACATATATATGGAATCTGAAAAAAATGGTACTGATGAACCTAGAGGCAGGGCAGGAATAAAGACGCAGACATAGAGGATGGACTTGAGGTCACAGAGCGGGGAGGGGGAAGCTGGGACAAAGTGAGAGAAGCATCAACATATATACATCACCAAATGTGAAATAGTTAGCTAGTGGGAAGCAGCACAGCACAGGGAGATCAGCTCGGTGCTTTGTGACCACCTGGAGGGGTGGGACAGGGAGGGTGGGAAGGAGGCTCAAAAGGGAGGGGATATGGGGACATATGTATGCATATGGCTGATTCACTTTGTTGTACAACAGAAACTAACACAGCATTGTGAAGCAATTATACTCCAATAAAGATGTATTAAAAAATTGAAAAAAATGATGTATCTTAAAAAAAAAAAAAAAGCTTCCAGCAAGGTATTTTGTACATACAGGTGAGCTGATTCAAAAATGGATATGGAAAGGCACAGGCCCTACAGTAGCTGCAACCTTGACAAAGAAGAATGAAGTGGGAGGCATTCCTTTCCTGATACTGAGGCTTATTACAGAGCGACAGCCATGAAGACAGGGTGGAATTGGCAGAGGGGCTGACACACAGATCAATGGGACAGAACAGAACAGGGACCCAGAAGCAGACCCATGCAACTATGCTTGACTGATTTTTGACAAAGGTACAAAAGCAAGAAACAGCCTGGAACAACTGGACGTATACCGGCAAAAAGAATGACCTTGACCTCAACCTCACCCCACACAGAAATTCCGTTACTACCTGCTTGGCCTGCAAGCCCCCTGCCAGAGCTTCTTGTGTGTTCCTGCCTACCCTCGGGGCTGGCCCCTCAGAATCTCTCGGTGGAGCCCAGCTAGCTGCCCAGGGTCGTGAGGCAGTGAGGAGGGCCCAGCCCTGCTGAATGCCTCCAGAGGGGCATCTCAGACACCCTGTCCATCTCCACCTGCCCCGAGGCCACAGATAGAAACGGGCCCTGGAGCCGCCATGCTGCCTGGCCTTTCTAACCATGCTTTCCTGGAGAACTGGTGGTTTGTGGGAATCACGTGGCTGGAATGCAGGGCCCGGCTGCAGGCCCTCCCCCCACCCCAAGCTTTAGAAGGCGCTGAGCCCTGGAGTAGCCTCTGGAAAGGTGGTCACTGGATGCCACCTCTTAGACAAGCTCCTGACGGCTGCCTGGACTCACCAAGGGAAGGGCAAGGTCACTTCCACGTTCAACTGTAGCGACCCGGGGCCCCTGCCGCTCAGAGGTGGCCTCGTGAAGGATGGCCCCTCCTTATTTCTCTTAGACGTTACTTGAAGTGGGGATGGCAGCAGCACAGAGGGCCACCACGGTCATGGTCCTTTCTGGGACGCTTAGTCATCTCCCAAGGTGGCTGACTTTGGTCTCCAAATAAATGCACCCACACGAGCCTGCTGGGGACCTCAAGACGAAAGCTCCCCAGGGACGCCCCCCCAACCCACCCATCTGTTCCCCCTGCTGCCAAGGTTGTCTGCTTGCCTGTCACCTCGGGCCACCTTCCCCACCCCGAGGTTTGTCCTGTGGCTCCCACCCCGTGTTCGGGATCTCACTTCTCACACTCTTCCTGCCACGCCCTCCAGGACACAACCTCAGGCCCCTGCCCACCAGCCTCCCCCTCCGCAGCCAGTGGGCAGGGAGCCCCCAGCTCGGGATCCCCCCTGGCCCAGCCCAGCCTGGTACGATTTTGCTCTGGAAAGGGTCCATCGCAGACTGTGTCGCACTCTTCTTCAAATCCATACTCCTCGAGTGAGAGAGAAAGGGCGCTGGGGGAGGCGGACAAAGGCCCCCAGGGAAAGCAGGAGGCCTCCCAGCTCTGACCACTGGGGGCAGGGAAGGAGGACAAGTGGAACCTTCCATGTACTTAGCAGGAGAGGCTGCAGCAAATTCCCCCCCTTACAGAGGAAGAGAAGGAAAAGGGAGGAGACACAGCCTGGAAAACTACCAATTTAGTGTTTCAAAGACTGAAAAGGGTACGATTACCTTGCGTGCTGAAGCCCGCGGTGGCGTCTGGGTCCCCGGAGCCGGGCTCAGTCACTTGCGGGTCCCCACTTGGAATCTATGGGAAGAAAGAGGAGGCCGCGCGTGGGTACTCTGCTGTCTGTGGGGCACATCACAGCAGCCTCCAGAACGGCAGGCTGACCCTAGAGCTTGTCTTCTAGAGACAGGTGCTCAGGTTGCAATCTTCTCCCCTAAATGTGTGGGGCGGGGGGTGGGAGGGTGAAGACGCCATTGCCAAGGCCAAAGCCCCTTCCTCCGACCTTCTGCAATCAGAACCGTGTGTCCCCGAGGGCCCACCCTGAGCCCACTCACCTTCCGCTTACGGGCACCATTTGGGGCTGGCGGAGGCCACACAGGGTCCCCCCTGTCAGCAGAGGAGGTGGGACAGCCCCTGCCCTCACTTCCCACCCCCTCCTCTCTTCCCTGAAGAGTAAGCCCACGACACCAACACTCATAGCACCCCAATGCTTTGGGCCGGCAGTTTGGACACAAGTGGGCACTGAACGAGCTCTGGACGCCCCAGAGCTGCATGTGCCCTGCCCTCCCTTCTGCCTTCCGCACGTGGGATCAAGAGGCTGCTCCCAAGGCCGCCCTCCCTGCCTAAGCTCTGCCGGGGTCCCAGCCGCACAGGGGGCCTATGCCGGGTAGAATGCGGGGCCCCGAGCCCAGTCACATGCCATCCCTTCCTGGTGGAGGCTGGCCGTGAAGCTCGAATGGGGTTGGACCATCATCACACTTTTGCAGCTTTCTTCTTGACTGAGAAGAAAGGCCTCGGGAATGTGAGGGGAGACACCAGCCTCCTCTGCTGGTCAGGGATGGGGCACGTCTGCTCCCCGCTTGCCGGGCTTCGATCTGCCCCACGCGAGCGCGTCTGTTCCACTGCTGCTTTAGGGCACAGCGGCCCCTCCCAGGCCGTGCGCCTGAAGGCCATGAACCCTGTATGCACGTGTCCCTGTGCCATCTCAAAACACGATTTCTGGCCCCTTGTGGTATTTCAGAACTGCTTGCCAATCATGAGCTGGGGGAGGCCAGGGAAGGTGAGGCGGGCCCCTGCGGCCTGGTCTGGTTCCAGCTCAGTAGTTATATTTCTGCCTCCCTGGACTCCTGCCCCTTCAATGGGGTAGCTGATGGCGCCCACCTCTCCTCTGTCAAGTGGGCTGGCGTTGCAGCAGGTGCTGGGCTGCCGCTGAGCAGCAGAAAGCTGCTCAGATGGTCCCTTGGATCCCACGTGTATGTGATACCGTCCTGCACTCAACGCTCCCTCTCTGCCAGGGAGGGGATAGAATGGGAGAATTCACACCACCCCACACCAATACCCTGTGTGGAAAATCTCTGTCAAGAATCTCCTGCCAAATCAAAAAAAAGGGACCATGCCCCGGAGGTTCGTTTCCTTTCATACCTCTCTTCCTGTATCTAACCCTCAACTGGACTCTTTTTCTTTTTTGTAGGGGTGGGTGGCAACTTCAGTCCTGAAAAAAAAGCTTCTGGTAATAAAGAAATATACATAAAACAAGAGAAATAAAACACACAGCGAGACAAGGTCAGGAGGAAATTGGATGCGTGTCATACTTTGCAGAAGCATCGCTGGCTTCCCTCTGGCGCCCGGTCAAATTTGGTTTCAAGAGGAAACAGCTCCTGGGAGCAGGAAATTGATCACCTCCAGCGAGCAGGGTGTCAAGCACTGAATTAGAATGTGGCCTCCCCTGATGTCCAAGGCCACCTTGCCGCAGCAAGGCCGCTCACTTCACAGGGCATTGTCCATGAAACACAAAGGCAGTGGAAGAGATGCATTTGCGGCATAGAATTGAAGTTGAAATCCGAGTTTAGCAATAAAGGTTCATAACACAGCTCCCGCAGGGCTGTGAGAGGAGAAGCCTCATGTATAACGGAACGTGGACGCTCCAACGCCTGCATTTATTTATTCCCAGAGGCACTATTTTGACCACTTATCGTAATTGAAAACTCAATCGGCATTTAGGCAAATAAGCCAAGTTCCCCTCATCTCCCTTTCTCCTAGGAACTTGGGCCAGAAGACGTCCTATATGGAAATTCTGCGCTATTTCTGTAATGAGTTTGCCACTCCTGGGTGAGGTCAGCTGGCTATGTCCCAGGTTTACAAAAAGCTGTTATCAGCCATCACTGAAAAGGTGCACTAAGGTTTTCGGCTCGTGTCCCAAGGCAATCTTCGAAGCTACTTCACTTACAGACTTTCAAATGTAAAGGTCATTTCATTCGAAAATATAAATAATAACTTCGAGGACTTGGGGTTGGACACACCTCTGTCACGTCCATTGCCTTTCTCACCACTTCTCGTCCCACCTGCCATATTGCCACCGAAATTCCTAAAGCACTGCTGGGCCACGTCGACCCCAAACGCCCAACTGTTCAAAGGCAGCTCTATAGTGTGGCATCCCAGGTCATGGAATCTGCACCCAAATGATTTCTGTGAACCCCCTTCCTGCCCTTCAAGCCCCCATGAGCCTCCCTGGTTCACACGCCTGGTCCCACGCAAGGTGGCCCAGCTGGTCCTTGCTCTGAAGCCCCAGAGAAGCCCATTCTCTGGTCCCTGTCCTGTGACCACAAGGAAGCGAATCCCATTGGTCTCCCGATCCTATAGCCCGTGGACTGGCGCACAGTCTCACCGGGCCCCCAGAACACACGCTGTCATTCACACAGGGGCATCAACTAGGCAAATTCTCAGCCACTTCCCTGCTGTGGAAAGAAACTCCCTCCCTCCAATCTGGCCCCAAAGCCACAATCTCAGGCCACGGGAAAGAGAACGCATCGCAACCCAAGTCAGAACGGAACCTGAATGTGGCTGAAACACGCGGGTCAAAACGAACGTGCTGGCTCAAGGGGGGGCTTTTCTTCCCAAATGAAAAATCTGTCCAGATGAGCGGTCTCGGCCGCGTACAGACCTGCACAGCCTCTGCTTGCTTTCCAAGGGGGCGGGCGTCCAAACAAGTGCAAATAGGCCATTCATATGCGTTTGTCCTAACAAGGGGGTAATTACCTCCTCCTGGCCCAGGGAGCGGGGGTGGGGGGGTCCTGCTGTAAGATGGCTGCTCGTGGCTGTCCCGTCGGGGGACTGGGGGAGGGAGGAGCTGGCAGGTGCAGCCTCCCCTGCGTGGGCGGGATGGGATCCTGGACTCCCAGACTCCCTGGGGGGTGTCTGTGGAATTGAAAAGTGCTGTCAGCCCACGGGGTCAGAGAGAATCAGCTGACGAGGTGCAGCTGCCTCCTCGGTGCTGGTGGCGGCGGGGGGCGGGGGGGGGGGTGCCTGTGGCAGCCCATTAATCACAAGTGCTACCAGCCAGGTGGGCAGCCCAGGAAAGGGCGCCACGTCCTCCCGGGGATAACATTCATGCAGGGGCTTGTAAGCTGGCGGTTTCTGAGCCAACGCAAGCTAATGTGAGACAGGCCTTTGCCCTTCAAAAGTTCCTCCCCAAAATCTTTTGAAAGAAATCTCCATTTAGAGAATTCCCCATTCTTTTGGAAAGTGAGGTCACGTGGGTCTTAGAAACAGTATTATCATCCTCTGATATAGTCTATTCTTCAGAAAAAAAGAGTAAAATAGTGATAAACACTAGGTGCACGTGTCGGGGGTGCATCAGATGTCACGCCCAAACCAGAGGCTGCTTCCCAGCACGCCGGGTCCTTGGAGGCCCGGCGAGGCCGGGAGCATCATGGGGTATCTCGCCGGCTCCAGCTCCGCCACTCGCCACAGGGTGGCGCACACAGACCCGTGAATCACGCACGGTTCCTCTCTTCTGGACATAGAGTAACAGCTCACAGGGACGAAGGAGAGGCAGGCTGGAGCCTGCGGCTCTGTGAGGGCAAAAGGCAGGGTCGCCGTGCAGAGGGGGAGGCGGCAGGGCTCCTCCCGCCCCCAAGGTGGCCGAGGAGAGTCACACAGCCTTGTGGGCTTCCTGGGGTTTCCAGGCCCCTGGCCGCCCTGCTCGGTGCCCCTGCTGGTTACAGGGTGAGCGGCCCGTCTGCACCTGGTTCAGTCCCCTCCTGCCTTCCTGCCTTCCAGGGACCTCTCTCCCCTGGCCCTGGGGAGACAGCTCCGCCCTCCAGCCCTGGCATATCCCCATGGTAACCCCTCCCACTCTATTCCCACCCACCCCCTCTAACTACCTCCTATCCAGCCTCTTCATCGAGCATCTTGCCAGAGCGATTTACTCCAGGCCCCAAAGGTGTCCTTGGAGCAGCCGCAGTGGGGACTTTGGTAGCCATGCAGATTCTCAGCAGCCCCCTGACCCTGAACTCCGGAGCCCTGGAGGTGTGCCCGGCCATCTGCATTTGATTGACAAGCCCTCCAGGGAGTCGGGATGCCCACTGGAGGCTAGAAACAGTGGTCCCCACACCCTTGCTTCCCCTCCTCACATCCCATCCCCTCCGCTCCCTGACGCCATCTGATCCTACCATGCCCCCCCCACCCCGCCCCGCCCCACCCATCCCCAGCAGCTGCTCCTGCCAAAGTCACTGGCAGCCTCTCGAAAGGTGAGCCAGGTGGACAGGGCTCAGTCCCTCACAGCCTCTGGGCAGCATTTGACCCATGCCTTCCTCCCTGACCACTGGTTTCTGAGTCCAGGCTTTCCGGGACCCCACCCCATGCCCTCTCCTAGGGCCTCAACCTGTCCAGGTCTCCAGGGCTTCCATGACCATCTTTGCAGCGAACCATGAGCTCTCTAAGGCCCCGACCTCAGATCCTAGCAGCCGTGGACACTTGCTTGGATGTTCTGATGACCCTGGCACCCAGTGAGGCCCAGCGGGTGGGTCGGCCCCCCACCTCATGCTCACCCCTCCCTCAGAGCCTCTGCAGGAGCTGCTCCCTCCCCAGCAACATCCCTGCCCCTCCTCCCTGACCTGCGTCCTGCCGCCCACAAGCCGAGGCTTCATCTCCCAGGGTCCCTGGACACACGCAGGGACCAGCATCCCTGCCCAGGGCCCTGCAGCACCCGGGGCTCCACTCAGGGCTCTGACCGTTATCACAACAAGCGGTTTCCGTTGACAATATTGATTTGAACTGTTTTTATCATGAAGAGAAAAATAAACCCACTCCAGGAAGGCAGAATGCTTTGCTCCGCTTTAAAGGGAAAAATTCCAGAGAATTTCAGTTATTATAAGTCTAGAGATGACAGTCATGGTCACACCACTGCCTCCTTCCTCACAGCCCCATGCCTCTGTTTCTCCCGTGAACGGGAAAACAGCCAGGAGTCCCAGCCGAGTCCCTCTGCCGTGGGGGCCTGGAGAGCCTCAGGACCTCTCGGTGGGAGCAGGCCTGGAGGGAGGCCCCGGGGTGTCAGGAGCCTCTGCCTGGGCCAGGGTGGGCTGGGTGGCTGGCCGGGGCTAGGGGCTGCTGAGCAGTCCCTCCCCAGGACCCCGAGGAGAGTCTGTCGAGCCTCGTCCCTTCCCGTCACACAGCCACTGGCCTGCAGGACTCGATCGCCTTGTGGACGGCACTGTCTCTGGTCGCATCCCCTGAACGCTGAGCCCAGCACAGGGGACCCGAGGGCTGATACTCAGGGGGTGGCGGGAACGGATGGGCCCTGCCGCCCGGCCAGCTCACCGCGGGCACCTTCTCACAGGGCGACAGTGCGAGGTTGGGGCCTGCACCGCCTCCAGGCGAGGGGCTCCCGGTGGGGACACGTGTCAGGGCAGCTCCGTGGCCGCTGAGACATCACAGCGTGCCCCTGGTGCTCCGGGTCTGTGTGTGTCTCCTCTGACGGATGCGCAGGGCCCAGGAGTGGCTGCAGCCCCGTCCTGGTGCCCCTGCCCCCTTGATGGCTGCCCACCACGCCCCAACCCCTATGGTGCCCTGGGGGACACCCGCATGGCCCTACCACTCCGTCTGCACTTGGGCACCATATGGCCTTTCCCGGTGCTCACATCTCTCTGCCCTGGCTGGTGCCCCTCGATATTCAGCAATGACAATGACGAGGGCGAGGATAATAATACCAAGAAAGGGCACGTGGCTTTTGCTGAGTCAGACCCTGCCACGTGCCCAGTCCTGTCCATTACAAACATCCTGTTCCATCCGATGTGCTTGGTACTATCATGACCCCATTTCACAGATGAGGAAACTGAGGCCGCATGTCCCGAATGCCTGCCCGCTGGGATCAGGCACCTCCCTGGCTGTAGCTGCCAGGCCTCTGACAAGACCAGGAATCCAGACGAGCTCTCTCAGGTGTCCGGATGACTTTGACAGTGGCCTGTAGCTGAAACAGCCCAGAGACCCCTGCATACTCAGACCATGGCCCAACCCCACCCCGGGGGGCCTCTGCCCACGGGTCAGAGCCTGGGCCCAGTCTTTCTGCACTGTGTCCCCAGCACATCTGAGGGGAGGCAAGGAAAGTCAGCACAGACGTAGGGTTGGAAGCCCCGCCTGGCTGCCACCTCTGCAGGATCTGCTCGCTGCACCTGCTGCCTCTGCTCCCCCACGACCGGGCTAAGACGACCAGCGTCCCACAGCTTTGCTGAAAGGCTGAGGGAGACGCCAGCGCAGGCAGCAGGACCGGGAACGGGGAACTGGCCTGTCGGGGTCGGGCTCACCTGGCTGGTGGGGGTCGGGCCCACCACGGCCTCGTAGGGCGGCGGGAGCTCGGCGGGGTAGAGCAGGCCGGGGCTGTTGATGGTGACGCGGTACAAAGTGCCGAATGGGGAGGAAGCAAAGTCCAGGTGGAGGCCCCTGGAAAGGCAGAACCGCGGAACATCACTCCTTGGGTAAGGAGCCCGGACCCGTCCCGTTTCCCTCAAAGCGATCAGACCGATTCCCCGCCTGGAATGCTCGTGTTCGTGAAATAAAAGCCTCATTCATCAGGCAGTCCTCACTTTTGTTTTTTGCTGGAAACTGACACTTTCAGTAAACTCTATGGCCTTTTCCATGACAATTAAAACCATCGTACAGCTGATTCAATCTTTAACTAAATGTGACATGTTCTATTAAATGACCATAAACCGACAGCAGTATTGTGTTTTGTGAAGAGTGGAACAGGGCTGCTCCTGCCTGGCTGGGTTTCTTCTCTGATGCCCTGCAGTGAGGCCACCGGAAACGCACGGGGCTCTGAGCCCTCCCACCTCCCCGGGCTCTGCTGTCTGATCCAACAGGCCTTCATTCGCCTCCCCCTCTGCTCACCTTCCCTGACAAGGAGCACCTCCCCTCCCCCAGTGACGGCCTCCCATCCTTGGGCCCCAGCATAGCTCAGGGAGGTGTCCCCAGGGAAGACCCACCTGTGGGCCTCAGTGGTGGGCGTGCAGGTGTACTCCGGGGGATAATAGGGCGGAGGGGGCAGTGGAGGCACAAACTCATCAAAATCCAGGGTCTGGTGGAGGACAGTGCCATGCGGGGTCATGCAGGCCGGGCTGACGGAAGGCGCCCTTTGTGGAAGGAACTGCAAAACAGAGAGGTTCCGAGATCAGGACGGCTGCGGTGGCTCTAACGTTATGACATAGGTCTTCGTTATGTCTAACGAAGGTAACTGTGCAGAGGCTTTAATGATGCACTTGGAACTCAGGTACTTAAACCCGTCCGTCAAACCGTGACGGCTAAACACACATTTAAAACGGCAGCTCCGGAGGATCACACCCCCTGCTCCGGAGCCTCAGCATGTTCGGTTCCCACACTGCTACGCAGATGCCTGTCTTCTGAGGCAAAGCACAGTCCGGGAAGTTAGGTTCTGTTGCTGCCACTAAACCTGTCTCCTCTGATGAAGAGCTTGTGGTCAGAGGGGTGCCTGCCCCCCAGGGCTGAAGACAGCACTTCCTGGAGTGAGTTCCTGAGAAAACACCAGACTCTCAGGATGGCCCTCCCACGCCCTCCCCAACCCCTACAGTGAAATAAACTTGGGCAAAGCCACTTTGGTACTCCCTCCTTGGGGCCCTGTCATGTGCATTATGAGTGTGTTCAAGGCCCTGAGAAGGCCTGCACCGAAAAAATCCGTTAAATTGTTTAGCCCATTCATGGAACATTCTTCAAATATTTTGTGATGGGCCCCTTTGGACACACAGTATCCATCACTATTTGGCAGTTCTAGGGAATTCACACACTTTGGAAAAACACTGCTCTGAGGGAAAAGAATCCTTCATGAGCTCTAGAACATTCTGGGGGGCAACCTCAAAACACAGAGGCTGCTTGAGCAATGTGAGGTCACATCACTTAAAATGAAGCTGTCTCTGCCTCATTTTCCATTTTTGTTCTTGGGAGGCACCACCCAATACCTGCTGCTCCTTCCATGGGCCACTGCTCTCCAGAGATGACCTGTGGGGTGGAGGTAGCCGAGGCAGGCTCCAGGTCCAGGGGACACCTCCCCAAGAGTGCCTCCAGCTGTGGACAGACCCCAGGCTACTGAACACTATGCTCTGGGACCTCCCACTGCATGGGGGGCGGCAAGGGGTGGGTGAGAGCAAGGACCCAGAGTCAACTGTCCATGGCCAAGCAAGGACAGTTCCACGAGGAAACAGTGAGCTCTCCAAGCTCTGCAGGAACCTGCAGAGATCCACAAAGGGTTAATGTAAAAGATGATATCTGAATGGGCCTGAAAGAGGAAGAGGATTTCAATGAGTGGGCTCACAGAAGGGGCTCCGAGCTCAAGAAGAACAGGTGAGCTAGTGGAAGATGTGTTTACGGAGAGCAAATTTCGGTAAGGCTCTAGAAGTTACTTCCTAATTCTGGGGGCACTGGGGAGCCCGCGAGGGTGCTGGAGCTGGGCAGCAGCTCTACTGAAGCCGTGTGGTAGGAAGTGCCTCGTGGCAGCAGCGGGTGCGGTGGTGGAACATTTCTGGACAAGTACGGGTGAGGTCGCGATTCTGAATACAGTCCAGTGCTATGAAATCAGCAAGCTCTAGACTAATGCAGAAAGAAGTGGGGGTGGGTGGGGGGCACGTCTAAACGTGTGACACCTGCCTCCTCCACACACAGCACGGTCCTTGCCCCTCCAGCTGGTGTGACCCACGGTTTGTATGTTTAGCGGTCTGAGATAGGGGTACATCCATGGCCAAGGGCGGGGTGGACATGTCTGCCAGCCTTGACTTTGGAAAGCTGCTCGCCCTGCGGCTACTGCAGGAAGCTGAGCAGCCAGCATGAAGCCAAAGGTCCTGGAGGTCTCACGGGGGAAGATTTTGAATTAGCCTCATCAGAAATTAGAAAAATCAATAACATACTCAAGTGTGAAATGCAACAGCCAAAGCGCGTTTCTGTGGAAGATCCAATCCCACCAGGAACGCGAGAGGTGAGGAGGCCCAGGCAATCCTATTAGCAGGTTTAAATGAGTCAATGCAGTCGCACAAGGGAGGCTTTTTAAAGTCTAAACGACCGTCTCCGTTTCTGCCCTGAACTCCAATGGCCTTTCCGGGGGGTGGGGCATCGGCCTATCTTCGTGGAAGCGTGTCAGACTCAGCAGCATTTACCCCGGCTCCTGGGCTTCCACAGCCGGAGGCCCGCGAGTCACACCGACATCTCCCTTGACACCACTCAATATCTGTCTGACGAGGCAGCGTCTGTATGGGAGCCCAGGGTCGCCAGCTCTGGACTCTGCTCTGAGACAGGGGTGTTGAAGGTCTGCACTCTGCGGTCCCAGGCTCCCTTGCAGCTGGCATCCTGTTAGATTCTGCCAACGGGGACGCGAGGGGGAACCCGGTGAAGAGGCGGCAGGGAGGGGGCTTCCTGTCACTGCTCCTGCCCCTATGTCCTCCAGCTCTAAGGGTGGCAGAGCTTCTGCTGTTGTCTCTGTGTAACCTCCAGGCCCTCCTTGCTCCTCTGCCTTTCACCCCCGGCTAACCAGCTCCCCGCATGAGCTATGTCGAGCTCCTTTTCTCTCCTGCGCCCCGGCCATGGGGTCCATCATGGGGTCTGGTGCCGAGGGCCCAGCAGGTGCTCTATAAGCATCCGTTCCACAGGTGAACACCCGCCTCCTCACTGCCACCTCCTGGCAGCCCCCAGGTTATCTCCTCCTTGCGGAAGCATCTAAATCATCTCTCTGCCTTGGTCTTCTTCCTCCTGTTCTGCTTTAAAAAGCTTTGTTTAGGGGCTTCCCTGGTGGCGCAGTGGTTAAGATTCCATGTTCCCAGTGCAGGGGGCCCAGGTTTGATCCCTGCTCAGGGAACTAGATCCCACATGCATGCCGCAACTAAGAGTTCGCATGACACAACTAAGGAGCCCACGAGCCGCAACTAAGACCCAGCACAACCAAGCAAATAAATAAATTAATTAAATAATAATATTTTTAAAAAGCTACGTTTAATCCAATGTGATGAGGTCACTCCCTTTAAAAACTCTTTTACGAGACCTCTGCTCCCTGAATCCCACCTAGTTTCCAGCTTCTTCACCCACTAACCTGCTGATGCCCCAAATTCCTCCATCTGCCATTGGAACCAACCCCAAGTACCAAACTCAGGCTGTTCTCTCTCCCCAGATCCCGCCTCCTCTCACCCAGCAACCTCCTGGTCATCCTTCAGGACCCACAGAAATGCTTGCTGCCCACCCGCACCCTCCTCAGCCCCTCATCTGCAGGGTGATGGCCAGGCACAGAGCCAAGCCTGCATCTGGGTGCGCTGGGGAGGAAATGCGCCCTGAAGCATCCCTTCTTTCCCAGGGGGTTGTGCTTGCCCTGGGCCACCTGTAAGAGCCCTGGTTGGTCCGTGTGGTGACAAAGGTACACCTGTGCCTGGTGAGCGAAGTGAGGTTGGTACCTGGTTGCGGTGTTCACACACCTGGCGTGGGCATCATCGCCCAACCCTCATCTTCCATAAAAGAGGAGTCTGCATTTTAGACCCTGCCGGGGAGAAGCCCATCCTCAGGGGTTTGTTCTGGAAGGTAGGACCCATCTTAGGCACGTGCTATCCTTGGGAGAAAGAGCAGGATTATTGCCACAGTAAAAGTTTTCTGAATGGACCTCTTGCTGGTGAGCTGGAGCTCTCCCCCTGTGCTCCGGACCCTGGAGTGATGCCCGTCCCGGTCACCCTGTTGCTCTCTGGTCCTGCCACCCTTGGAGGAGCACGGCTGCCTCCTCAAACAGGTTCAGACCAGTTTTAGTTACTACTGTAATTTGCAATGGAATTATGAATGCAGATGGGAAAACTTGCTTGTTCCGTGAAAACCGAGTTGAAGGCTTTGGAAAGACTCGATAGCTAAGCAGGAATTGCTGCTAAGGTAGGTCCCGGCCAGGCAGTCACAACAGGGTGGAGGAGAATCGTAAAATATCCAATCCAAAGGAACTAAATTTGGAAATCATGGAGGCTGCGAGTTCCATGAACTTGATGCAGTAAACACAACCTGATACACCAAAGAGACCCATAATCAAAGAGAAGATCATGGTCCCAAGCCAAGACTGGGGGACAAATGCTCATTTGCATGTTTAAGGCCAAAATAAAATGTTCATGGTATGTATCATTTTTATGATTGTCTGCTGTGGCTGGCTTTTTAGGTCAAGCAGACACCCATTATTGGTCCTGATCTGAGAGGGTTAAGTAGCACCTATGACTCAGAGACCTTCCTGCTGAACCCAGACCTCAAGGAAGGTCACTGTGGGTCAGAGGAGGGCCGGCCTCAGTGGGGAGAACTGGAGAGGGGAAGATACAGGTGAACTTGAGTGATCTGCGGGCTCCCAGGGGGCACTACATCCCTGCCTGTCCGGCCAGCACCCATTCCGAGCTCCGTGGGCAAGCCCACAGTAGCGTGTCTGTGACGGCCACGGTACCCTGCCTGCAGCTTCTGAAGCAGCTCTGCTTTACAAGGTGTAGGATGAGTGGAAAACATAGATGACTGTAATAAAAGATGAAGTTAACCAGTGTGTGCGAAATGGAGATGCAGGTAATAGCAGACCACGTCCCCGAGGCCAGGTGGTTGGCAAGAAAGTAAGTGGGGAGGAGAATAGTTTCATGGAAAACTGAGATTACACTTAGGAAATAAAACTAAAAATACGAGATTATAGACACTTGGGAGGTAAATGCTTTCTCCACTAAACTGTATCAATACACTGAATTTTATCATCAGATGGTCTTTTGCCACTATTTCCAAACACATTAGAGGAATTCAGCTTGATAAAGTCTGACAATAGACGTAACAATTTGCATCTCACGTAGATATGCATTCATTATATGAATTCTCCCCAAACTCTTAATCATCCCAAAATGCTGGTCCACAAAAATAAGAATAAAATTATGGGTTCCTTCCACGTGGGCTAAGGCCTTTGCTATGAGTCGCAGTCTGCTGAAGGGTGCCCCGTGGTTCTTCCTGCATAAACTACACCCGTAAGACATTCTCTGACTTTCCAGTTCTGTGTTTTTACAGCAGAGCCTGAACTTCAAGGTACTTGGGAAGCAATGTGTATGTAGACACCCCTTCGATTTTTTTCAGGTTTTATCCCAGCCCCAGTCACGTCAGCACAGGTTGGTCAAGAGAGTTATACTGGGGCTTCCCTGGTGGCGCAGTGGTTGAGAGTCCGCCTGCCGATGCAGGGGACGTGGGTTTGTGCCCCGGTCCGGGAAGATCCCACATGCCATGGAGAGGCTGGGCCCGTGAGCCATGGCCACTGAGCCTGTGCGTCCGGAGCCTGGGCTCCGCAACGGGAGAGGCCACAACAGTGAGAGGCCCGCGTACCGCAAAAAAAAAAAAAAAAAGAGAGAGTTATAACTGTATGTACAAGGAGAACCATTTGCAGAGGCAGAAACAGAACCCAAATCAAAAACAAGTAGCAACTCAGATAGAGAAATGGCCAAATAACTGACGTGACTTCCATCTCATGGACCACTGCAGATATTCAAACATCTCTCTTTCTGTTGACTTAGCTGGATGGCCATGATTGTTTCAGGTTATAAGATTAAGTTGTAGAGTAACATACGTGGTGTGATCCCATTTTGGCAAAAAGAGAAGGAATAAATGAAGGAAGAAAGGGAAGGAAGGAGAGAAAGATAGAGAAAAGGAGGGAGGGAGGAAAAAAGGAAGATAGACTATGTTCATATGTTTCTATAAGTCCTAAGAAATCAAGAAACAAAGGGAAGATTCACTGCAAATTGTTCTCAGGAGAATGCAGTGGGGGAGGGGAGATGATCAACTTTTTCTTTATATACCTCTATATTTTATTTGTTTCAATGATCCTATGTTACTTTTTTTTTTTTTTCTTGCGGCACGCAGGCCTCTCACTGCTGTGGCCTCTCCCGTTGCGGAGCACAGGCTCCGGACGCGCAGGCTCAGCGGCCATGGCTCACGGGACTTGCCGCTCCGCGGCATGTGGGATCCTCCCAGACCGGGGCACGAACCCGCGTCCCCTGCATCGGCAGGCAGACTCTCAACCACTGCACCACCAGGGAAGCCCCCTATGTTACTTCTTTAATTAAAGAGTTTAACAATATGAAGTAAGAAAACTAAAGTCAACTATATCTCAATAAAGCTGGGGGAGAAAAAGACTTGTAAAAAAATTAAAAAGAGCTTCTGAGCCATCCTCAGGGATAACGTAGCTCCCAGCCCCATCCGTCAGGGCGTAACCATGACCCCCTTGGGCTGTCCCACTTCTCCAAGGACACAGCACGTGTGGGCAGGCTGGCCCAGCCCCTGACCCATGTGGTAACAGCCAACCTCCATGTGGCCACCATGCTTTTACAAAGCCCATTGACACATTATCTAAGTCATCCTCTCAGTGGCCCTATGAGGACAGTAGGATGTAAACAGTCTTACTTAGAGCAGAGGAAACCGGGACAAATGGGTGGTGATGTGCCCAAGGTCAGGTGCTGGTCCCACGGGCGCCATAGTCACGGGCTCCCCGGTGGCTCTGCAGGTCAGTGGGGTAACCGGCCTTCTGAGGAGAGTAAAGCTTGGTCTGTTCCACAGTCCGTGGTCACAAAAGGAGAAGAAAACACACCAGCAGCGAACTCATCGATTTCTATTTCCAAGCCAAGGGTCTGAAGTAAACTTACTCACCGAGTATGATACTTAGCCATGAAACAGCCAGGGGTTCTAACGGCAGCTGCTGTAATTGCAGCCATACTTTACATCTGGTTGACAAAGTACACCGAGGACCACCGCCTTTACGGTCACAGCCGCGATGTCCCGATCACAAACCGGGACGTATTCCCTCCACGTATTTAAGAATCAAAATAGTTCACATCTGAGTTCTCACCAGATATTTAAACAGGGCCCCTCCTGAGTGAGAAAAACGAGGTTCAGGGAGGTTCGTAGGTAAAAGCCGTGGGACCCCGACCCAGATGTAGCTGACCTCAGACCCAGGATGCCAGGCCGCTCACTTTCTACACAGAGGACTGACAATGGCCTGCACGTTACGTTTCACCACATACACTATCTTAGCTACGACACGCTTTCTTCTTACTTAGTTGGTAATTTGCATTTTAATTCTGAAAACCTAGGGAATAACAAACCTTCAGCATTTCCAGCCCCGTGGTTCTGTGAGTTTGGCCAAATTGGTGTGATATTTCCAGATCGAGAGTAAAATCAGCTGAGGCGACCGGAGCCCCACAGTACTTAACCTTCCATTACACGACACGCTGGAGAGAATCGCCAGCCTGAGGCCTCAGCGAGCAAGGCCTGAGGTTCATCGCTGCTGAAGAACCGCTTAATGAGGTATCTTTCAGAAGACTGCCGCCTCTCGGAAAGGTCGGCCCGGCTGTGACAGCTGTGTGGATGTACACGGGGAGAACGAGGCTGCACACGATCAGAGCCCATGAATTTTTAACGCCTGGGTAATGATGCTCTCTGGCCCTGCACCTGGACGCACTGATGCACTGCCACGGGGTGGGTGAGAAACAACAAAGCACACAGGCTCCTATAAGAAAAACTGGCCTTTTTTTTTCACGAGATGCTTAAAACATTGGGGAGGGGAGGCAGGGCAGGTCTTGGAGGGGCCACGGGGAAGAGGGAGGGCAGGGTTCCTACCCTTAGCATGAACAGCAATGTCTTCCCATCACTTTCCCTTTATTTGCTGACTTTAGTGGTAACGTAGTGAGCAGTGGGCTGTGTTCCACTCACACAAATAACGAAGAGCCGTCATTATTTATTGAGCATGTATTAATAAGTGTGTGACCTCTGCTCTTGGCCTCATCACTCCCATGGGGACCAGCGCTTCCTCTTCTCTAAGACCCTGGCCAGGGTTCTAATGATGGCTGGCCAGTGACCTGTCACTGGATTTTGAGCTCAGGGTTAATTAGCAAATCTGCAAAGCACAGAGGAGCAGTTTTTCAGTTTGAGAAGAACTCATCTTCTAAACAATCTTCCTTTATTTTTTTTTTTATTTTTTGCGGTACGCGGGCCTCTCACTGTTGTGGCCTCTCCCATTGCAGAGCACAGGCTCTGGACACGCAGGCTCAGCAGCCATGGCTCACGGGCCCAGCCACTCTGCGGCATGTGGGATCTTCCCGGACCGGGGCACGAACCCGTGTCCCCTGCATCGGCAGGCGGACTCTTAACCACTGTGCCACCAGGGAAGCCCCGAATCTTCCTTTATTAAAAGTGAATTCTGAATAGAGCCTTGCTCTGGAGGTGCCGGGCCTAGAGGACATCTCAGGCTACAGGACTGTTGCTAAAATTACTCAGGGACACAAACCAGGGGCTATCTAGAGGCACATGATGGTAGCTGGACCCTGTCAACAAGGAGCTCCAACAACACCTCAAATAAATACATCAGTGGCAACAAATGTGTGCGTTTTGTCTTCCAGAGGGCAGAATGGAGTGACCTCCAAGGATCTCCAAGCCCCACGCGCTGTCGGGGCTTCTGGATGGAAGCCAGCGGTGCCCATGATACATTGGTCTCAAACTGGCTGGGGAGGAGGGGCTGGAGCCTGCCATTTTGAGTGTGCTGGGGAGGAAGGGGGGCCACTCACCATCTGCAGGACGTCAGCGGAGACCATCTGCATGCAGCACATGGCTGTGGCCAGCGCACACACGATGGTGGACAGGACGTTGAGGGCACACACGCTGAAGAGCAGTTCCTGTGGGAAAAGATGCGGGAGGACATCAGCGTCATCTTGGCAACGCAGACGGCAGGCTCCCCGGCATTGCCGTCAAGGTCCGGGATGAGGATGTTCAATTGTGGGTTTCTTTTTTCATCATCAAAACTGGCCTTTTATAGACACATTTGTTTATTCTTGGTTTCTACATGGTTGATCAAATTACTCTTAGATACTAAGTGACGTAGTTTACAATTTTGATAATTATTAGGTAGTCACTGTCTAAGAAAATCTTCAAATTGCCAACATTTGAGTAGGTGGGCAATCTTTGTCAGTTATAAAGTGTAACTGAAAATTTTGATAAGAATTCCAAGTTTTTTAAACTTCTTTTCTTGAGATAACTGTAGATTCACTTGCAGTTATAAGAAATCATAGAGAGATCCTGGATACCCTTCCCTCAGTTTCCCCCATGGTAGCATCTTATAAAACTATAGCATGATATCATAACCATGACTGACAATGATACAGTCAAGACAGAGAACGTTTCCATCACCACAAGGATCCACCCTCCCTGCCCGTGTTGCCCTTTTATAGACACACTCACCTCTCTCTCCCTGTTCCCCACTCAATCTCCCTTTCCAGACCCCTGTCAACCACTAGTCTGGTCTCCATTTTTATAATTTTGTCATTTCAAGACTGGTATACAACTGGAATCATAAAGCATGTAACTTTTCAGAACTGGCTATTTTCACTCAGCATAATTCCCTCAAGATTCATCCAAGTTGCTGCATGTATCAATCGTTCATCCCTTTTTATTGCTGAGTTCCATGTTTGTTCATTCTCCAGCTGATAAATAACTGGGCTGTTTTCAGTCTGGGGCTATTACAAATAAAGCCCAGGAGCATTTGTGCACAGGTCTGTGGGTGAACATGAGTTTTTATTTCGCTGGGATAAATGTCCAAAAGTACAATTGCTGGGTCATATGGTAACTGAATGTTTAGTTTCATAAGAAACTTCCTAATTGTTTTCCAGAGCGGCTGAAACATTTTACATTCCTACCAGCAATGTATGAACGATCCAGTTTCTCTGACCCCGTGCCAGAATTTGATATCACTATTTTATTTTAGCGATTCTGATAGGTGTGTAATGATATAGCATTGTGGTTTTAATTTTCATTTCCCTCACAGCTAATGATCTTTTCAAGTGCTCACGTGCTATCTGCTTATCCTCGTTGGTATCCTCTGCTCATAACTTTTCCCATTTTCTAGCTGGACTGTTTGCCTTTTTTTCTTTTTTAACTGAGTGTTGAGAGCTCTTTGTGCATTCTAGATTCTAGTCCGTTGTCAGATATGTGGTTTGCAAATATTTTCTCCCAGTCTGCAACTTATCTTTATCTAGCCCTAGATCGTGGTGATTTTCTCTCTCTTTTTTTTTAAGCTTTTATAGTTTTACGTTTTACATTTAAATCTGTGATTCATTTTGAGTTAATTTTTGAATAAGGTGTGAGGTTTAGATTAAGGTTTATTTTTATGTTTTTCATTTTGATCTCTACATATTCATTGCTAGAATACAGAAATGTGGTTTGTATCAATATTTGTATTTATCTAGTATCCTGTGACCTCGGGATTTTCTTCCATGCTTAATTTCTTCCTTCCCAATTTGTATGCCTTTCATTTCCTTTTCTTGCCTATTAGCACTAGCTAGAATTTCAAGTATCATGAATAAGAATAAGACGAATAAGACGCCGAGATGAGATATCTTTGTCTTATGCTCTCAGAGGGTTCACTCATAGCATTTTAACTATCCAAATACAATTCATTCTTCTTTAGATAATTTACTGTCAAATCCATGCCAGAAACAGAAAAAAAAAATAACCACGATTCACAAAAATGACCAAACATTTAGAATAATTATATGTCCTTCAATATACATACTCATACGCTACTCACACGGTAAATGCAGAAAATACTGTAAATACTCCAAAAATTATTAGGAAAAATGGATCTTTCACCAGAAAGACCATGGTATTAATGAGGTTAGTTTCAATTTTCTAATCAAGCGGTTGACAAATCCTCAAGACGAGGTGGGACATACTCATTGTATTTCCTCGTTAACATGAATTGTACATGCACTGTGAATGTTTCAAATGATGGTCTAGTCTGGGAGCATGCACAGGTCTTGCTCATGGATACTTGAACCCATGTGTTCTAATCAATAGCACCCTTTAAGAAAGTTCCCCAATCTTCTGTAGGCTGCTGTGACTACAGAAGGCTTTGCCCAACCCCCTTCCTCAGAACCTGCTCATTTGTTCTCAAGACTGCCTGTAAGATAGCCAGAAAGGGTGTGATTATGATAATATTACAGAGGACAAAGTTAACCTACCATGCAAATGTGAATACAGAGAACAGAGTCATGTTTTGGAGATTTGTTAGGTGGAACTGAAGCAAGTCTCAGCTAAGGGCTAATTATTCTCCACTCCTGAGGTCAGAGTGTTCTGAGAACCCTGAACAAATGTGGGAAGAGTTGCTACTCTCAAATCTGAGTACTGGACACTGTAACCTCTAACCCCTTTCTCAGACTCAAATAGTTTCTTCATGTGCGTCGGCTAATCAGCATTCAACTGAATACTCCAGGGGGCCCCTCTGAAGATCCCAGGGTTCTCTCCCCTCCAGTATTCTGTCCTTGGTCTCCCTCAGACCCTCAGCTCTGTCAGCTCAACTCAGGGAGTCTGCAGGGATCCCCCTGAGTTCCCCATCCTGCACTGTCCCCTGGAGACTCTCCCCTCATCGGCTGACCATATTTCAAGGATCACTGTCCTTCACTGTCTGATGTTCAATGTCTTCGTATTTTGTCAGGTTTTTGTTGCTGTTCTTGTTTCAGGTGGGCGTTTAAATCCAGTCCCTGTAACTCTGTCTTGACCAGAAGCTCTTGGTGGCTCTTAGGCTCATCTAAGTATCCTCTGTAACATTCTTAGGGCCACCTCAAGTGTCCTCTACGAAGTTGCTAAAGACGGAGTAGGATGGGAGCTCAACTGTGGGAAACGGCAGGCACAGATGGGGTTGGGAAGAGGCTATGGTGTTTGGATTTTATTTTGTAGGCAATGGGATACTTCTGAAGATGTTTGCTGTTGGGAAAGAGATAACGCAACCCGTTTTCACAAATGATAGAGACCTTTTGCAGAACCTGGGACACAGTTGGTGCTGACCGTTGAAGTGAATGCCCCTCTGAAAGTAACATTAATTTTGAATATAGTCTCATTTGCAACCAAGTAAAACTACTAACAAAAAATAAACACAAATCATAACCTTTTGTTTGAATAAGCGTCATGAGGCAAACACTGCTTTATGTCTCACGGAGCATATTCACTGGAATCACACACCAAAAAGACTTCTTTTTTTCTTCTTCTAGCTGTTTAAATGCATGGCTTTCTGCTAGATGACTACACACCTGGAATTGTGTCTATGTGTTTCTTCAGAATTCTCTTTCTGGCTTAAATAATGCCTTTACCTCTGCCCTTTGATGGGCAAGCACTGAAATCCAAGTTCTATGAAATCTCTTTACAAGGTCATTCAAAATGGCAAGCGTGAGGACAAGGTGGGTCTTGCATAGTGTATCCTGAGTTTTGCTGCTGGTCACTCTGCATACTTCCTCAAATACAATTAAGGAAATCATGTCTATAACGAATCAAGTATAAAACAAAAACAAAAGGAGATACTTAGGGAAACCTACGAATGATAAATTCTTTAAAAATTCTCTCCAAGACGAGTAAATTCCGAATATTAACAACACAACAGAAAAAGGTGACAGCCAGGAGAAATTACGCATTAAGAAACACAAAATTTAGGATTTTGATTCCCCTGTTTGTTGAAAATATTATTGTCCAGAGGACAAAGGGTCTTATATTCATTACTATTAGCTAATTCACCAGTTTTTTTTTTTAACATGTTTTTGTTTCTTTGAATAAAACAGAGATTCCAGAGGAGACTGTTATCAGGCAAGGTATAATGAAGGAAGATGAGGAAAGGCTCATAGCGTAAAAAATAAGCGATGAAACCCATGGCTAACAATAACTGTACATGTGTTATAATTACAAGGGATGGGGTTGGGCTTTATCAGAATTATCCTCTGGAAGCTTCCCAATTACTTGACACAGTAATCACTATCTTAGGGAGTCTTTCATGGCAACAACTGGAGTTCAGTATGGAAAAACAGGATGTTAGGAAAGGTCAGTGGATGTGGTGCAGAGACTGACGAAAGAAACCACGCCTGTCATTATCTTCTCTGTCCAAGGTGGGAAAGGCCAAGTCAAGAACTTGGGTATGCCCTGATCACTCTTCACCCAGACCACTTCCTGGGGTTGAGTTTGCAACAGGCATCCTGGAGGAAGGAGGTAACATGTCCACTGGACAAAGTGGAGGCTCACTACAAAGGCAGCAGATTCTCCAGGCTCAGTGTTGCCTTTCTGTAATGCCCACCACATGTGCGGGCATCCATGAGGGGCCTTTGTATCTTTCCCTGAGACTTGAGGGGCATGAAGAACTGACACAGCATGAAGCTCTCGCCACTGCTTTTGCCATGAGTGAGAAAGTCCTTTGTCTCTGAACTGGGAGTCTCATGTCTTCTGCCAGAGAAGTAGCAGCAAATTCTAACAGGTGCAGCAAATTCTAACAGGCTAGTTTGTTAGCTTGAAAGCAAGTATAATCTCAGACCCTGCACAATTCCTGACAGCATGTTTCCCTCTTCAACAAGAGCAGAGACCAGTCTTCTGCTATTCTTTACAGTAGACGATCTCATCAAAATAGGGGTCTGGTAAATATATGTTTGAAAAACGTATGGGATATTTCATTATTCTTTTCTAAATTTTCAGTTTAGACTAGAAGGAAATAACAGGCTTAATTTCCAAATTTCCAACCACACGCCAGAAAAATTTACCATCACCTTGAAATAATGTTTTTTTTCAGAGTCTTACATCAAGATTCTGCAAAAACTCTTGGTCATATGATCAGTGTGTGTGTGTGTGTGTGTGTGTGTGTGTGTGTGTG